AATTCAGTAGCTACTTATATATAGATATAGAAAGATGGAAATGTAATGGATGGATATATATATAGAGATGAAGGAGGAGATGGGGTGGTGGGGGTGGGGGTGGGGGTGGGGGTGTAGGGGGGTTAGATGTTAGAAAAGGAACATGCACCAAAATCTTAATGGATTTTGGGAAAAACACATAACCCTAGAAAAAGGTTTCATAAAAAAAGAAAGATCAACTTGCGGTTTTTAAGGTTGATTTTATCTCGCGTGGGTTGTGTTTGAGTTTGTTGCCATTTGCCAATGGACATAATTCATTATAATATATTATATATACATACATTACATATATAGGTTTAAATATATATATATATATATATATATATATATATATATATATATATATATATATATATATATATATATATGCATATACTCCTCATCACTAGTGTTTTGTCTTCCAAATTAAGACATGTGTGTATATGATGTTTCGACATGGATAATGCTCCCTAAATTATGATGTGTATATATTAATAATTTGTAATGATAAATAAAATATTTAAAAAATGTCCGAAAATCAGAATTATTAACCACACAATTTAATTTGGTAAACATTCTTGAGCTACTGACAGTTATATTTTCGCATCTTGCTAGAAGTCCCGCGGTCGACTTAGTTTGAGAATTTAGGCAAAAATTAATTATTTTAAGCTGAAAATACCTTATTATCCCCTAATTCATCAGTTCTCAAAACAAAACTGACTCACTCCAAAAAATGACATTTTTTTTTCCAATCCGCCTCTCTCTACTAGTGCATGCTGCCGCCTGTCTAATTTCCGCCACAACATCAAAAAAAAAAAAAATTTATCTTCATATTTAAGATGTTTATTTTCAGTCCAATTTTTTTTTTTTCTTTTTAACGTTTCCGAAGGTTGCGTTTAAATTGAGAGATTTGAAATGGATGGATTTGGACACAGTAAAGAATTGAAATTAAGTGGCCATGATGAAGGTGATGCACTATATCTTGTGTCACACATAAATAACCATCATCATCTATACATACATATATATAAAATATGCTGAGAATCGAGATTTTATGGGTACTGAGAAAAGATATAAAATATAATGATTCAAGGGGCCGGGTGACAAAATCCCAATTTTTTGGTTATATATTTCTTCTTTTAATTCGGAAACTTGTGCATGCAATATCTTGGCCGGGTTAGAGAGATCTAGAGAGAGAGAGATCTCTAGAGAGAGAGAGAGAGAGAGAGAGGCGTGCAGTGGATTTGATGATTTTGTATTCTGTTTGGTAAGAAAAGATAAACGGCGTGCTAACACAGACGCACTCAATCATCACCATCACCATCACAACATCAATTCTATACCAACACACACACAACAAATTCATATATATATATATATATAGGTATACAAAAATCTAAAAAAAAATATTATGTATTTGTTATCCTCTTTTAGGTATGATTGGCCACATGTCGATTTATAATCTGTCCCTTGTCACCACTTTTTATGAGCTTGAGGGTCCAGCTGGGACCATTAAGCATGGCTTACAAATATATGATGTCAAATCTACATCACCATGATCATCATCATATCCATTCTATGCTGTCAAATTACAAAAAATCCCCTCATGTTTGGATAATTACAACTACCATTCAATTATAAATCTTCTTACACTTTTATTCTTATGGTGTCAAATTCAACATAATCTTCTACATTTTGTGCCATATTCTCTAGTTTGTACTCATTTATGCAAAAATGTAGTTTCTGATGCATTACAATCTGATATTTACAAGCCAAGAGACATATCTTATGATATTCTTGTTTCAAAATATGGAGTTCGAATGGGGTAAAACGGGACAAACTGGAAAATATTGCACATAATCTAGAAGATTCTACTAAATTTGACACCATAAGGATGAACGTGTAAGAAAATTCGTTGTTGATGGGGTGGTTGTAATTACCCAAACATGAGGGTTTTTTCGTAATTTAATCTTATCTCAGGAGATGACCGTAATTTACCATATATACACACACAGATATATATATATATATATATATATATATATATATATATATATATATATATATATATATATATATATATATAGAGAGAGAGAGAGAGATTTATGCAGATCAAGTATGGTGACAAACAAGAAAGGATTTGAAATTGTGATGATGGATTTACCTACCAAATGTGTTTGAGATAATCATGTTTCTCACATGGTCCCATAAATGAAATCTTCTTGCTAGGTTGTAGTTTTGATTTTCTCTCTTTTTTTTTTGGTTTTCTTTTTTTACAAATTAATTCGTAGCTACGTATATATAAATTGCACGAGAGGTGCATAATTGTATTGAACTAGCCATGTGCGATAAGTTCAATTAAGAAATATTCACAGAGAAAATCGAACTCGTTTTGGTGGACGTTATCATAGCGGTAATAGGGCTCTTCCAATAATCACCCTAATCGCCGAAGGCACCTGGAGTGCCCCAGTTCAGGAACAAC